GCGTTTCTTTTTTTGGCCTCAATAGCTCCTTTCTTTTGAACTCTGTCCCACCCCCACTTCTTCCAAACTCTGTTTTAAAAATAAGTAATTTATTGAAAAATGCATCTGACTTTCAGGCTAACAAAACAATTGTTTGTTGATCTTGGTATGTCAGGCTGCTGAGAAACAGCTTTTCATTCAGCATCAGAGCTAAGAGAAAAATAGATCTGAGAAGAAAGTAGCACTTTCTCAAGCTTAGCCACACACATTATCAGAAGGAATATATGTTTGAAATACATATATTTGAAACTGCTGAGAGCCATAACTGTGATTTAAGATGTTTTATCAAGCTGTTGAGCGTGAAAACACCTAATCCCTCCATTACTTCAATGTAAGTCTGCTTGACTGATATTTTAAATTAAAGGCTAAAGGTATCGATGCTGTATATTAAAGCTGAGATATTAAATAGAGATACCACAGAAATGAAAACTTTGAATAGAAAGAGATTTTTGGAAGCATCCGTTAGGTATTGCTAAGTAATCTATAGGATTTGTGGGATGCTTGGGAGGAAAGTTTAGGCACCTGGCATCTTCTGTGTTTTTGTTTTATCAATATTTTTATCAACAATCCCAGTGTTTTATGCCGTTTTTTTGCTGCAGCCTCGTACTGATAGGGTCAGGCTTCATCTGTGGAGAACAGGATGGTTCTTCTGTCTCCTCCAGCGAAACGTGCAGTATATGCTGTAAATTGCCTTTATTATGTGCTGCTTAAAAATCTCATTGTCTGCTTTGCATACAAACAATTTATTGCTGCTTATGTTCTGGCAGAATGAAAACTAATGTTTAATTATGCATTGCCCTAGTAATGTAGTGTTTAGGGTGAATGTATTTGAATTAAATAAGGGCCATTAATAATGCCTAACAATTTATGATATATTCATTGCTTGATTTCAAATGATATAAATTAGAGAAGCTTATTTGAAATGTCACCAATATAAGATGGCTTTGTGGGAACACCTCTCTGTGTGCTAATTTCAGAATCATTACCAGCTGAGTCTTACTATTTATTCAATGTCCAGTAGGCTTTTATTATTCCCTTATTTGCAGTTTAATTACAACCTCTGTTTTCCTGACAGTGTGAATTCAATCCTAAACCTGCAGGAGCAAAATGAGTTGCAATCAGTAGGTTCTTGCCTGAAAGCGCCACGTCCTTTCCCAGAGCGCCCCCGCGCCAGCACAGCTCTGAGCAGCTCTGGGCTCTCACGATTCTTTGCACTATATATTAAAGGGGCAATGTCCATCTAAGGGTTTAAAAATCATCTTCCTTAAAAGTTTGCAAGCCAAGGGGGATGTCTCTGTCACAAACATAGACACACATCTTCAAAGGAATTTACATTGCAGGACTGAAAGAACTACTTCTGTTTCAGTGTGAACCGTATGCATTTATTGTAGAGATGCTATAGGAGTGGTTTCTCTTAGAAGTAATTATAATTAAGTGAATGTTTGGTCCTGAATTCTCATCAACAGGTTAGTCTTCTGGCTAGTGAGCCTTTTCGGCTTCATTTATGTATCTTGATTAGCTTCATGGAAAATTGTTTCTTGCTTTTAATTTTCTTACATTCAGGAGAGGAAATAGAGGAAAATTGATATTTCTGATTTCTCCTGGCATTATTACAGCTATTGTAACACAATTTTGTTATAATTGGGAATATAGAATTTTTACCCTCACATCACATTTCATTTGCTCTTGTTAAGGGAGCTAATTATGTTTGGTAACTGAAGAGATGCACAAAATACATGGTACTGGTATCATATGCAGTTTATTTAAACTTTTGTGACACATGACCTTAGGACATAGAGAAGCAAAAACTTGATCTTAAAAGGCTAAGGCTGTTTTCTGTGCATTTTAACATGACAGTTTATTTACATAGTGATGCCAGGGTGAAGAACTGATCCCTTTGTGTGGTTCCAGTTTCCGCCAAGATGTAGCAACACGCTTGTTCCTTCCGATGTCACGTAGGCCAGCAGGCCCGCCCTGCTCAAATCTCTTTTAAAGGGTTTATTGCACAAAGACGCAGATCTTCTACTTGAGAGATTTAAATGAATCGATGGCCTGCAATGCCGGGAGATGCCATTACTCACCTGGGACGCACTACCAAAGGTCACTTGTACTATATGTCTATCATTGGCGGCGGTGGAGCAGGGGGATTGTTTTTGTTTCTCTCTCCTGGTAGAGAGAAATTGCCTTAAAACACTGAAGAATTTACTTCAGAGTTGGGTGAATATTCTCAAAAAAAAAAAAAAAAGGCATGATATTCAACAAAAAATTCTGTTAGACTGTATTTTTTTGCCTGGTGATGGGGCATGCATGGTGGTAGTGGGGTTTGTACTTTTCGTACTTCTTCAAGCATGGATTTCGTGTACTATCCGGCAATTTAAAAGAGTAGATAATTCTGTGTAAGCACATCTAAAGCTTCATATCTGTGTTTCCTTGTATAATATATCTGCTTGAGTCTGGTGTTTTCGTACAACAGTTAGGCTAATTCGGTAGATCCATGAAGTGGCCTGTGGTCGCAGGCTGAGATTGATGTACAGTGATACCGGCTGTAGTTACGGGTTTGTATGTTAGATCTAGTGATGTTCGATCAATGTTTTGTTATTTTATGTCGTAGTTAATGAGGTGTCAGGGTGATTTATTAGGCTTGTGCAGCTGTGTTTGCACAAATTTCCCGAAGCTCCTTCTTTCTCTCCCCTCAGGAGGAGGAAGGAGCCCTCTCCCTAGAACGTCAAGGAGAAGAGCACGTTGTTCAGCCAGTCTCAGCTATCTTCATATTTCATTTCTAGCCTCTGTTGAATAACTGCAGAGCTTTTAAGGGCTTTACAAAGAAGTATTTCGTAAAGCACATTCAACAGATTTGTATCTCTTTTACTGTGGGCTGCAAGGGATATGAGTAACAGAAATGAGACATGGCTAGAGGAGCTTTATTGAGACTTAAAAATACTGGAAAGTATTGAGGCTCTCTGACGTACCTGCTTGCATTGATTTCTTTTCTCTGTTTAAAAGTGAAAAAACTCATTGTTTTTGCATTTTTTTAATCTTCAGTTCTGCCCAAGATCATTCAGTAAAAGCTCCTACTTTCTATTAGCAAGAGCATATTTCCTCCCATATTTATGACCTGTAGCTCTTTCAATGAAGGCTTCTCAAAAAGCTTTTCTTAAGCAATGTAGTATTTGCAGGGAACTAACAACTTGTTAGCTGGAAAGCGATGCTGGATAAGTACAACTGCTAGGAGCAGCCCGCCTGGAGTCACCCCTGCTTAGTTATAACCACCTCTACTGTGCATTTGCATCCACATACCAAGAGTTCGCATTTGGCTAAAGCAAAATGTGCTCTGCATGAGCAGAAAGATTTGATCGTGTAGATCAAAACACATTACCAAGGGCTGGAACACTACAGGAGCATAGGTAAAATGTATTCAATGAGTATTTACTTCTTGTAGTGGATATTTTGTCTTTTCTTTTTAACACCCAAATGGATATTATGTTCATCATGTAGTAGTTAAAATTTATAAAAATAATTGTAGATTAATACTTATAATAATAAAAACATGTCTACAAACTAAGTAACTGTGAACTCATTTACATTTTCTCATAAACACACGGCATAAGTGGATGCTTCTGAAAATAAGTGGGTGCTTGTGTTTGTAAAATCCTAGTCTTGAGAAGACTGACAATATTTATTTCAAATCTAGAAAGAATAAATGGCATGCATAAATACGAGAAACCAATTAAATTGAATATTCAAAAAAAAAGACCTTAATGCCTATGAAAATGCCTTTTTATGAAAACTCAACTGAGCTCTGAGCTTATATAAGAAACGAGTCCCTGCTTATTAAGTTCACAATATGTGCATTCAGTGTAGGTTTCAGTTTAAGACTAGTTTGTAAACTGTGAAGGTTAACAGTCTCTGCAAATGCAGAATTTGGATTATCTAGAGAAAATGCAGCTCTATTAAACAGGAAGAGTTTTTTAAAATTAAAGACTGTTTTGCTGACATCATCATCATTGACCTTTCATAAATCATATTTTCCAGGAGTGCTCTGAAACACCTCTTCCCTGAAATCGATATAAGTATGGAACGCTATTTCTTCTCTCCCATACTGTTGATCCTCTGACTGCATTTGGAAAGAGCAATCTGTTTTTCTGTTCTTAAGCTTAATTCCAGAGCACACTAAAAGGAAACAGTAGATCGAGTGACTTCTTCACAATTAAATCACATGCAGCATCTTTGAAAAGACATCAGCAACTAAAACATACTCTGTTTTCTCTAGATCAATGAACTGAGCCATGTTCAAATCCCTGTTATGTTGATGCCAGATGATTTCAAAGCATACTCAAAGATAAAGGTGGACAATCACCTTTTCAACAAGTAAGTACAAGTAACAATTCTTTGTAGAAATGGGTAGTGGATGTTATTTTTCAATTGATGGGACTGAAATTTTGATGATTAATTTAATCCTGTGTTTAGCATAACCATCTGTGCTATTCTAAAAAGCAACAGGAGGGGCTGCTGGGTAGTATTCTTTTCCATATGGTATATTATTGCCTTATGTATATATTTTATGTTAAAATATTTCACTCTGTGATTACTGGTAGCTGATATACATACTCATTTTGATTTTTTTTAAGTATAAAATCACATACAAATATTTTTAATATTTTAAATGAAATATTTGAGTAAGAATGAGAATTTAAATCACATATCAAAGCTGAATATTTTGCAAGCTTTTATTATTCATAGTAGGAAGCCATATTATTCATAGACGAGCTCAAAAAGTATTAGGATGATTTAATGTAATATCCCCATCTCTTAAAAATAAAGGTGCACCACAAGTGGAACATGCAGCATACAAAACTGTTAATAGTGTTTTGTGTGTAAATGAAATTCACGTTAAGAAAATACTTGTAAAAAGGAAAGAATTATTTTGTGTCATATGAGTCTGTGGCAAAGTTCAAAATTACTTTTCTCTAGTTTGATGCCTGAAATTAATAGGGCATGAGAACCAGTTCAATACAAAATGAACACAATTTTCTTGAAGCTTTGATGTTGTCATTACTTTCTGATGTCACACATGATGTAGTTCTTCTATAATTCAATCATTTTTTTCACCTTTTGGAGATATTCAGGGCAAAGGGAAGATATTCTTTTCTGACTTTGAGTCCAGATGCAAAAGCAATCAAAATGCAATCTCTATTTATTTCATCCAGTTCTGATATGTCTTGTTAGAGACAAATAAATATATTTGCATAAAAAAATATAAAATTTGGTAAAGAGAAAAAAAAAGAATATGCTGAGCCCAAATCTGATTCTTTTTTTGAAGGCGTTAGAAGAGAAATTGTAAATCTCCTTATTCTCTGCTTTGTATGAACAGACTTGGGACAGAATACTCCAGAATTACTTAATTGCATATGCAAGTGAAGGAAGTTGATTTGGTGTTATATTCTTTCAGAGAAAACATGCCAAGTCATTTCAAATTTAAGGAATATTGTCCAATGGTTTTCCGTAATCTAAGAGAGAGGTTTGGAATTGATGATCAAGACTTTCAGGTAAGTTTGCTTTCAAAATACCTAAACTCGTGATGTGATCGGTTTTTAAAGGTTAGCAATGCTGTACTTGTGAACAGCAAGTCCGCATGCTGGAACAAAGTGCTTGTATTTATGTATTAGTTGAAGAAAACTGATCAAGAAAGAAGAGGTACTTTCTAAGTCTTTCCCCCATGAGCAGCCAGAACAATCTGTCCAAGCTGGCTTTTACTTCTTACCTTTTTACTATCCTTGGTAAAGTCTCCTCATTTCCCATTAGAGCACCCGCAAGCCGTGCTATTAAAGCTCTGAGTTGATGCCTCTTGAAACAGAAGAAAAAATGTCTGGACAGTACTGACATGAGATGCTGTATTCACCTGAATCACTTATTTAACACTTGCTCTAGTGACATGCCTATGTGAGATGTAGTTTCAGAAAAGACCACGGCCTTCTGTTTTCTTCCTGTTTTTTTGGTTTAGAAGTAGGATGTATGGCCAGCCAATTTCCTACTCCTGCATTGCATCTCCTTCTCCCACTGTTACGGGAATGTGGGAACAAATAACTTGCATAGGGGACATACATACTGCAAAATAGGAAATTGCTCTTGTGTTGGCAATATTGTCTTTTGCAGTCAGAAAATTCTTGAACTCTGCTTCAGTCTGCTCACGGTCACTGTCATTTCTTTGTCATTATTTATTCTTAATATACATTGTTTCAGATATAGCAATAATTCCTACACCAGTTACACTGCTAGACATCTCATTCTATCCTATATAACACTCACTGTACCCAGTACCCACATCAGTCGTGTTCTTTTGCTCCTCCAAGCTATTTTGATGTGGGCAGAAGCTGTACCCTGTGATTAAGAAATATCAGAAGATATTTAATATTAGGTTTCGTGTAGCTAAACAGATAATGGAAAATGGATTTGTCATAATATTCACATCTGTATTACTTAGAACGGTCTGAATGCTGCAGCCTAAACCTAAATCTATTTCCTTCAACGATCCTCTTCATCAGCTTTTCCTTTTTCAGTTTCAAGCAGTGTGTTACAAATGCATAGCTTGCTTAAAACGGTGCTTGCAGGAGTACAGGTGAAGATTAGCTTGTGCAGTCTCAATACTTGGCCACTGTAACTTTGGTAAGACTTTCTGCCAGCAGGTGGGGAAGTTTTTTCATTTGCTCTTACTTTTTTCCTTTGGTGGAGCTGTTGTGATCATATTGCATAATTCTTTACTTCCCGTTTTACTGAAGAAATGTTAAGGCTCAGCAGTTTTTACAGTCAAGCCACTAACAGTTCTGACAGTTGGCCCCACAATATCAAATTGCATTCCTGGGTTCAATTTTTCTAATGGATTAAAGAGGAACTTTTTGTTTGGGAAGTTATTTGACTCCTTATATAAAGGTTTCCTTTTCCTTGACAAAGGAAAAGGATCAGTGAGTCAAAGAAGAGAGATGTGATTGCTCCAAAACTTAAAATTACGGTGTCAGCTAACACTCAAAATCTTTTAGAAGATGGGATGATGACATTAGTAGGCAATCAGATTACATTTCAGTGTGTGTGTTTTAGAAGACTTAAGATGCTGTCATTAGTTAAAATTGGCGCACAATTAAAATTGCATTGCAGAATGTTTTCATCTGTGCCACTGTTAGTACAGCAATTGCTGTGTTGTAACTATACTATACTGCTCTTAGAATTTATTAATGATGACAATGGTAAACAGTGTTATATGAGTGTCACTAAAAATGTGCATATTTTCACATCAAAACCAAAATTTTTTTCTTGTAGTTATGTGGTTTGGGATTTTTAGACAATATATCCAAACAACCCAAAAGAAGAGAATGTAGCCATATATAGGTGTAAATGTAACAGTTTTTGTTAAAGAAAAAAAAATCAATGCTATTAAGTATTTCAAATTTGTGTATTGAACCACAGAAGTTAGATGGTATTAATTCTGACCCACAGGAAAATGAGATCTGTCTTTACTAGTCTTCTCTGCATTCCAAGCAGTTTATGACTCTGAATTCCTATTCTGCTGGACTGTTCTGATAAAATAAAATAAAATTTAAAAATCCTGAAAATAGTAATACATTTTGAGTACACTTTTGAAATTCTAAATCATTTTAAATAAATACACATAAATGAAAATTCAAGTAAAATTGGAATCAAATGTGAGATAGGGATATATCCCAATAAAAGTAAAAGCTGCTTTCATTTTACTGTTTACTTTCCCTGTGGTTTAAAAATGGAATCTAATTTGCCAAAGGCAAGCGGACTCTCTATACATTCACTTTAGATGAACGTGTGCTCAGGAAATCATTCCAATGAACATTGGTTAAAATTATAGTCTATGCTCAGAACCAAAAATGAATTGGAAAAAGCAGTACTAAACTGAGAAACCTGTGGATCAGAAAACAAATAACTTCAGATAGTTTATTATTTATAAAATGGTTTTCAGAAAAGGAGTCCTAATCAGTTATGAACATTGTCATTCCAGTTATTGATCAAGATAGGACTAGTGGATGGATAACTAGATAAATCTGTTTATCTGTTAATGGAGAAACTAGAGAAACTAGTAGATAAATAAGCCTAATAACCTTGTTCATTAGTCAGATACATCAGTGCATTTGAAAAGAACGTTCTTTCCAAATGTTTTAGTTTTCATAGTATTCTGCAGATATCCTATATGAGTTGTTCCAGAGGACAGATAGCGTTACTCATAAGGAAAGACAGAAACTGTACCTCATGAAAAAAATTTGGTAGTGCACACTCTAACTACTGAGCTATGTTCATGTTAATGCTTGATATTGTGTTATTCACCTTTATGGTAGATTTGTCAATACATACACAGGTCTAGTTCATATATGAATTATTAATACAGAGACTCCCCTCTTATTTTTGAGGAGACTTAACTACCAAAGTCCATTTTCTTTTGCATGCAATCTAATTTCAAAGTCAGGAGAATTCCCCTTGAGTTGCAGCTCATATCTTCCAGAAAACCATTACTAGTGATGAGATGATTAAAAAATGAGGGTTTGGGATCTTTGAAATGAGTTGCCTCCCTTCGCATGAGGCAAACCACCTTCTTTTCTTGAGGCACCTTCAGTAATCTATCCAATAAGCTTATTTAATAACTAGTTGTGCTTTTCTGAAAAATGGTTTGATTAGTATTAAGATGGGATTGAAGTTTCCTGGAGATACATGCTTAGTTGTTAGAAAATGAGTGGTGTTTTGTTGTTGTTGTTGTTTTGTTTGTTTGCTTGCTTTTTTTTGTTGATGTTGGGTTTTTGGGGGGGAGGGGGATGCTATTTTTTCTTTATTACGTTTCTTTATTCATGTGGAAAATAGAGTATGAAGTAGGTAAACCTTGAGTTTTAGTCAGCATTTGCTAATATATACCTGTTATGACAGATCTTCAGGTAAGGATAAGAAACATTTCCTATGTCAAAAAATGTTTCCTTAGACCCCTATCATCCTTCTTATTTGTCACATATTACTAAGATATTTATTACATCAAATGAGAAAAATATTCTGGCTGTATTTATTATTGTTCTTTGTGCTGTTGTGTAGTAGTAGTATGTATATAGATCTCTTACCCAAGAAAAAAATTAAGAGTCAAAGCAATTCCACAACACAGAAAATTAATAAATGAAAAAATTTACTTTATGTTACAAAATGACCTTGTGTCAATGTCTTCTAATTCATCAAAAAGGAATCTCAAACTCTTAAGATTGTCCTAGCATTGACAAGAAAATTTCAGAGAACATTAATTGTTTCCAATAGAAAGAAGTGGAGTCAAAAACAGATGTAGTAATGTAAATTGCACACTATGGTCCTAACTTAACTTTTATTTTCTACATCTGCTTCCATAGACATGTATTTTGCAAAATCTACTGTACAGAAAGGCCTCTTTTCATGTCAAAATATATGGGAAACAAGGAAACTTTGAGTTTCCTTTCAACTTGATTGCCATAATTTCTCATCTTACAAAACCCAAGAATACAATTATGCTGGAAGAATTACAGAACTAATTTCTGTACACTGCACAATTATGAGAAATTAAAAGTTAGCAGCTGAATGAAGAAAATTTGTCCCCCCAAACAAAGTTTAAAACACTCCTACTGTTGCAAATCCTTCTGCTCCTGTTGCTCTGGAAAGGGTATCTTGATTTACTACCCTCTAGCACATCTGTTCTTGCTTAAAGTTTACATAAATCTGGATTCTACTAGGCTCAACAGAGGGAAAGTAGGTTCTTGCCCAATAAAACAGAATTGCTTATACAAGAGAGCATCAGTCCCGGTGTAGCTGATTCTTTTACTGGGAGTGAGAGAGACCAAAACTGATTTTCCTTAAAGTTTTAGCATTTAGTGTAGCAGGAGAAATGTTTACATTTCATATGACTTTGGCTGTTTGTGGCAGAAATTTGTACAGCTTGTTTGTATAGGATGTAAAGTTCATAAAGAACTTGTGGGAGATGTTCTTTCAAGTGCATTTTAATGTTTAGAGATGCTTATTATTTCTATATGTAAAAGTTTGGAATCTAAAATGAAAGTTGATGATCCTTGCTTTTAAGCAATTTCATTAATAGAGAACCACATGAACTTGGTATTTTTCACTTCTGATGTGTTTCTCTCTTTAGCTTGTGGTCTCTCTCGTAACTTTTTATACAGAAGAATTTCTTGAGGTATTTTATAGTCCAGACTATGAACTTTATAATTCTTTAAAGATTTTCTTGTTAGATTGTCAGATAGATTCAACCTGCAGATATAATGGAGTATACTTTCCAAAATTTTTATCAGGCAAAGTTCTGGCAATAACAACTAAGTTTTCTACTCCATAACATGACAATATAAGACTTGATACAAATGTCTTACTACAAAGCCATTCTTCTAATATACATATATATAAAAAGCTATTTGATATGAAGCACCTTCTGTTGTGCTATCATACTGCAGACATGAAAATGCTCAAGGAGAATGGTATAGCATTCTATGCTGACATAGAAAATAAACCTATGACAAAG